GACAGTAGGCTGGTAGCTTTATGGCCCGCATGAAGGTAGACATGAGTCGTCTTGTCTTCTCAAGTGGCTGACCAGGGCATGCAGCAGAGGTGCATGGGACATGAGCTGCCAGATGTTACAGGGCTCTCTACTCATGAAGCTGACTGAGGTGACTGGCGTCTCACCAGCATCTGGTCACCAATCATTTTATGTGTTTGCTCCTATCACTGCGTGACAGCAATACTGGGGGAACCGTTGCGAGGGGATGCAGCTAGATGGCCCCTCACATGCTCAGTGTACCCACAGAAATCAGAGGCTGGAGAGCTGGGCAACATAAACCATCGCTTGTGGCTCTTTGTGATTCCAGGGCAAGTCTTCAGCATGGATAAGAAGTATGATGTGAAAAAAACCAGCGTGTCATTTGGAACCTGAGAGACACACAGTTCACACTTTGCCAGCTCTACGATGCAGCAGTGTGACCACCGCGTGGCCCACCCTTCGGCTGGGCACCACAAGGGTCAGAAAGCTACATTCTCATTCTGCAGAAGCCCAGGAAGGTGGAAGGATTCACCCCAGGGCCACAAAGTAGGCAGAAGCCAACTGCCTGCCTCACCCAGGAGCTCCTTCCAAGGGCCTGAAGTGGAAATAGTCGTTCTCAAATGGTTTGCCCTCAGCCCACAGCTCTCTTCCCAAGCCCATTCCTACTTCTGCTGCAAGAACGAAGGATTGAAGAGGAATGCAATGCTCAACATGATAGAGAGACAATGAATTAAACAGGAGCCAAATAGTCAACAGAAGAAAAATGCTAATTAAGACAAAAATAACTGCAATTGAACAAAAAAGCCAACCCCAGATAGCTCTGGTGGTACACCCACAGCAAAGTGTTCTTTCCCCAGTTTGCTAATCCCAACTGTGCGTGAGCACATTCACAAGCTTTGCATGGTCGCCAGGCCTAGCCTTGGCAGCCTGACGTCTTGACCGAGTAATGAATTTGAGTCCTCAGGAAACGAAGTAAAACATCAATTTTAGTTCATAAGTAGCACATTTTAGGAAGCTTTAGGAACACGCTATGTACTTGACTGATTGGTTAATAGCCCTCTGTTTTATGCCAAAATGAAAACCCATACAATTCTGCTTTTTGCCTACAAGAATTGAAGAAAGAACATTCTAGAATGTTCAGGTCAGTTTGGAACCATTGGAAAGAGTCTTGTGGCTCACCAGTGGGTTTCAAATTTAGAGGAACACTGATCTAAAACGAACATCATAGTTAGGATAGGCATCTGTGTCATCGATGGACGAGAGATGTGCGCTTGGGGAGGTATTTCCACGAGGAACTGTGTGGACCCTGTAAGAAATAAGAGCTGGGCCGTTCCTGCCATTGGGTGAGCCTGCAGAGCCCGGGAGGGGAACTTCTCAGTCAGGCTCCCGGAAAAGTGCTGGGAGGGAGGGGGAGGCTACAGGAAGGATCTCCTTGACTGAAGATGTCTGAGAACAGCCAGCCCAGCCTCCTAGAAACTTTGACACTGACTTGCCTGAGGGGCAGGGTGGGTCCTGAGCCCCAGACAAGTCTTTTCTGAATCTATAATTGCATGATTCATCCTTCACCCTTTTCAGTGCCCCTACACCTTTCTCGTCCTCCTCCACAAAACTCTGCCCCATAAAAGCTTTGCTCAGCTGTCAGCGAGCTGATGGGTTTGGACCCTGGCTTGGCCAGGGGCCCAAGAGCTACAGACAGTTCTTGTGACTCCTTCTCCCCTAGTTTAACCCTTGACTGGTTACGGCCTTGGGGCTTGGAGGCAAAACAGATATCGATTTATTAAATCCTAGTGGCCTCTCGAGCCTCATCGGTAAATTGGAGATACTATCTCAGAGGGCTGTGGGGAAGATGAACAACTGATACAAAGGCAGGGAAAATGCTCAGCATGTGGCTGGCAGCACGGGGAGCGCTGAAAGCCCACGGCTACTGCTGCCGTGACCTCCAGTGGGTGCTCTATGCTCTATGACATACGCGATGTCTTCCATGAAACCTCTCCTAAGTACCAAGGTTCCCCTTCCTGAGCTCCTGCAGTCCCCATTCCTGCCCTGAGAATGCGCCTCTCTGCACCGTTTTATAATGTCTCCTGCGAATGCCTCCTCCTGCCCCCCACCTCGTTCCCCAAACTAGCTTGTCAGCTCCTTGAAGGCCTGGCTTCGCTGTGTCTTGGCTCTGTCACCATAGTCCCCTTTTCTTTCATGCCCGGGCTCAAATGGTTCGAATACAGCATAATCAACACAGTAGTTGTTGGATAAATAAATGTGTGACATGTACCCAGATCATTTTTTTCCAGGTATACACATATTTAGTATTTATGATGTAGAGACAAGCAATGAGAAATGAGGACACGCGGGGTTTGGTCTCCCAATCTGCAAGTGAATCACCGCACAGCCTTAGGCGGGGTGCCTATAAAACAGGGCAACTGCCACCTGCCGCCCTCCCGGGGCTGGGGTAGGTGGCTCGGGCTTTTAAGCAGCAGTGCAGAAACACAACCAGCTCCTTGATGTTAAGTAAATAAGAGCATCTGGGTTCTGATGGTAACAAATGGGCCCCGTTCTCTTTTATCATTTCCCAGCTCCGATTGCACCAAACAAGGCCAATAAAATAGGCCTCGCCTGCCTCTTTTAAATCAGATTTCCAGAGAAATCTTCCCCCAGTAACTCATGACAGTGCCAGGAGATTTTTCAAAAGGCTAATCTAAATTCCTTCTCACCTGAGGCTCCCTTCCCTTTGTCTTCTGCCAAATGAGACCAACAACAGCTTTGACCACCATTATAGAATAATTATCTTTATTCTTAAAATCTTTATTTCACTCTGCTTTCCACTAGTTGATTTGGACTAGAGAGGGCTGTTTCCTCCCTATTAGTATTCACATCAACCCTTTTTTTCCTTCTCCATGCTTCCCCCTCTTCTTCCCTTGCCCTAACCCTCAGGCCTCCCAGCAGTGCCCAATGTTAGCTGGTATTGCCTGGTCCTGGAGGAGCCCCCAAGTGGAAGGTGCTCTGACAGCTGGTTTAGGCTGAGGCCTTCTGCAGCAGCACCCTGATCAGAACCTGAAAGACCGAGCAAGCCCCTTTTGCAACACTGACGGACCAAGCGCGGGATCCAGGCTAGCTGAGCCTTGTTGCGATTCAGGGAAAATTGCTCTCATTGTACATCTGTTATAGAGTCCCTTGCCTGTGTAATGGTAATTAAGGTGTGGCTAAAACCATGCTCCTTATGATCTCGGAAACACTTTGAACTCCCAAGGGAAAGGTACTGGGTTAACATGAGGTGGTGAAGTTTCAGAATGCAGAAAATATGTCCCTTAGGATAACAAGGCAGAGGAAACAAGCATAAACATATGTTTTACGTTTAACATAAACAAGCATAACATAAACATAAACATAGCATAAACATAAACAAGCATAAACAGCAAATTTGTCTTCAAATGAAACCTTGGGGGATTCCCACTCCTAGCCCAGATCAGAGTGGAACCACTCTGTTCGGAAGGCAGGGTAAGGTGGTAGAGGTAGGGGGCCAGAGGCCACGCTTCCGCCTCCCCACCCCCTCTCCTGAAGTAGTGGTTCCTGCAGTGTCTACAAGGAGCCCCTGGGTTTCCATGAACGAAGGAGACAGAAAGAAGGTGAATTTACATATTTAGTGAGAGCGGATGGCAAATCAACTTCATGGCCTTATGGGACCCTGTGGAGTTGATCTATATGTTTCTTAGCCTTGATTTTCATATATATTTTATCACTGTTATTCTTTTTTTGTAATGGGTCTCACAATCTTTGAAGAGTAAGTTGGTGTCTGGATATGTGCACACAGTTCTAGGAAGAGAGAAGCCGGCCTATCACATCCATGACAAGGCATTCATAGGGTTTGGTTTCACCTGGGATACCACTCAGCATTCTGAAAGGTGCTACGTGGTATTTTACTGTGCTTTACACATGCTGGCTTAATGCAAACGGAATGAAAACGAAATACACTCTAAAATGAACTCCAAGATTTTAAGGAGCTAAAAATAGAGCTTTATACTGTAAAACTACACTTTCCCCTGAATAATGAAAGGTATTCTTAATACCACTTATCATAAGACATTAAACATGGATGGTCTACTTAGTCCCTTTACTTCGGCTGGTATATTTATTAGGAAGAAGGACAATAATAAGAAATACTCTGCTAAGCGAGATTTCCGTGGATTTCCAAATTCTAAAACAGCTTGCTGGCTTAGAAAAATACTGCTTTGTGTAAATTTGACTAAGGGCTATTAATTTCCTAAATTATCTACAGAAAAACGTAACATGTATTTAAGTGTCCATCAGTTTGAAAGACTCGAGGAAAAAATCTGAAATTCAAACAATTGCAGTATATAATTTTTCTGATTTTTAAAGGAATATTTATAGCTTGAAAGGGAAAAGCTGGTGAAATACAGAAAAATCAGAGAGGCAATTCTTCTCCCATTTCAGGAAAATTATAGTTCTTGAGGAAGACATTGACAATTAGCTCTCAGTTGACACATACTCATTATGCTGGAATTTCTAAAGACTCCTCCCCTTTTTATTTCTGAGAGGGAAAACACATTTCTTTCAGAATTAGAAGAATGGCTTTAATGACCTTTATAATCTCCAGCCCAGAGGCCAGATCCATCAGATAGCCTGCTATCCCTGGTCAAAGCTAAGAATAACTTTCATATTTTTAAGCTGTTGAAAAAAAAAATCAAAAGAAGAATAATATTTCTTGACAGGTGAAAATTATATGAATTCACATTTCAGTGTCCATAAATAAAGGTTTTTAGAAAGCAGTTGTGCCCATTCATTTGCATTTTGCCTGTGGCCGCCTTCCTACTACCACGATAGAGTTGTTACAACTGAGATTGAAAAAACCCTAAAACATTCATACAGTCTGGCCTTTCACAGAGAAATCAGCCAACCCCTGACGTAAGAGATGGAGTCCACTGGAGCGCCCCTCTGTGTGTCCGCGGGGACCGTGGTAGGAGACGTACCTGGGTGAGTTGGCGCAGGCATTTGTCGAGACACCAGAAACAGCAGAAGCAGCATCTGAACATGCACCTGGACCATGCACCATGCTGCTGGGTCAGGATCAGAACCAAACGAACAGAGTCAGAAACATGAGAAGGAAGGAAGCAGGCAGTTTCTGCAGACACACTACGTTTCTAGTGGGAGATTTATCCACCTGGGGAAGCAGCGCAGCACTTCTCCCTCAGTGGGGGCGAGGTCCTTCTATCTGCACCTGCTGCTACTAATTATTACCATTATTATCACTGATGAGGAAAGTTTGTCTCCTGTGGGCTTACCTTGTTATGATTGCTGTTGGCCTCAGCAGAAAGGGAAATGTCTAGTCCATATTCACTAGCAAAGGCAGACTAGGCTCTCTGGTTCTAGCTAAAAAAAAAAAAAAAATTCTTTTCCATCTTCCCCTAAGTGTCATCAATTATAAACTTTGCTTTTCCAAACCAGTTTGTATTCATGAAAGATGCATATCCCAAAGACTGTAAAACAAATAATGCCTTGTAGATACTAATTATGTGCCCATAGAAAAAAAGGAATCAAGTTTAACATTTTTTGCAAAAAAAAAAAAAGAAGAAGAAATCCCATACTGAGATATTCAGGGCTAAATTTCAAGGGACAAATTAGTCCTTTGAAAGATGATTTGGACATATGCATAGCTCAAGAGTGAAGAATTTAATGAAACTCTTAGAGGAGGGTTAAATGTGTCCCACTCACTGCCCAGAGTTTAAAAAAACAAAATCCTGTAAACAATCCTGAAATAGTTCTCCCTGAGGACCCCAGGAGTAACTCAGCCTTATATGGACATTTTCTTGTCCTTATGTTAACTCAATTGGATGAAACTTTATCTGGATACTTTTCAGCCTGGCTGTGGTTGTCAATGAGCCATTGCATGTAGGAAAGATCACACAGTGGCCATGAGAAGTGTTTAAATTGTGGACACAGTGTGAGGCCGTATTGCCGAGGAAAATCATGTCTTTTTAATGGAAGGACACATTTCTTCAGTAGTGAGATCACTAAAGGGGACTTTGGCCCCTTGATTCTTTTGGGATCTAATGAGTGATAAATAACCCTTTAGACCTCTACCAGAGAGACCAACCCACTGACTTTTCTTTTAGATTTATGAAAGGCCTCTGGTCCAGAGTTTTAAATGCCTAGTTCTAGAAGGATGGCAAGGTCCCCTACTGCTCATTACTTTGTGATTACCTATTGCTAATGCATATACTGAATATATTAAAAATAAAAAAACCTGCCTGCTTTACAAAAAATCCTTCTTGAAATTGAAGGATCAATTGCAAAATGCAGGAGCCAAGAAGAACTAGATTTGGCTTAGAATTGGAATGCCTCTGAGTCACCAAAATACATATATTTTTTTACCACTTGAAATTTAGCTCTGAAAAATGTCACTATAGAATTTATTTCTCAAAAAAGTCAAACTTTGATTATTTTTTAATATGGGTACACAATTAGTATCTACAATGCAATCTTTCAAACAATTTAAAATATAGTAATAAATCTAGGTGGTGGGGATCCCTGGGTGGCTCAGTGGTTTAGCACTGCCTTCAGCCCAGGGCGTGATCCTGGAGACCCGGGATCGAGTCCCACGTCGGGCTCCCTGCATGGGGCCTGCTTCTCCCTCTCTGCCTGTCTCTCTGCCTCTCTCTCTCTCTTATCTCTCATGAATAACTGAATAAAATCTTTTTTTTTTTGAATAAAATCTTTAAAAAAAAATCTGTGTGTAAAACTTCCCCAAGTGACTATGGACATCCCTACATCTAAAAGGTTAGAATCAGGGGCACCTGGGCGGCTCAGTGGTTCAGCGTCTGCCTTTGGCTCAGATAATCTCGGGGTCCTGGGATCATGTCCCGCATCAGGGTCCCCATGGGGAGTCCGCTTCTCCCTCTGCCTATGTTTTTGCCTTTCTCTCTGTGTCTCTCATGAATAAATAAAATCTTTGAAAAAATAAAAATAAATAAAAGGTTAGAATTAGGTAAACTTGTGACACTCTGATCAAGTCACAGGCACTGAGGTGGGGGTGGGGGAGGGATGAACATTGTGTGAGAACAGAAAAGTTGGGAAAATTCCAACCTCCCTTGTTTGGCAGGCCAGAAATACCATGAGAACAGCTGTTTTCCTGGTGTTCTGGTTTCCACTGGCATTCATAACCAAATGTGCATGGAAATAAAAACCAGGGAGGCGAAAATCCCCCAGGCACAAAAGCCCCACAGTGTTCTGTCTTTTGAGCTGAGATTTAGGTCAGCTTGTCCATCTCTCAGTCTTAAGCAGGTCTCCTCTCGCTGTCCCTGACTCTCTCTCTCTCACACACACACCACACTCACATACCCACATGAACATTCACACACACACACACTCACGTACTCTCTCCCATAGGCAGACGCACACACTCACACACACACACATTCTTTCTCTCCCACTCACTTATTAAAACTCCCTCCCTCACATACACCAGTCACCTCCCATGGCACCCTCTAGGAAATAGAAAAGGAATATTTTAGCATTAAAACAGAAACAAACATTATTCCTGTCTTGTAGTATATTTTATTTTAAAAGAAAAAGTATGATAAATATCCATGAAAACTTTTCAAAATTTGAAAAATTCTTCCCATTTGTTCAGCAAATGAAAAACCAGCTAACTCAGAACTACTCCTTCCCCACCCTCACCTCCACCACCTTGTGGGTAAAATAATAATAATAATAATAATAAACAACAACATAACAAAATTCTTCAACAAACAAAGCCATAAAACAGAGTCTGGAGACAAGAAGATTGCTGGGGGCAGGGGTAGGGGATGGGATCTGAAGGACACTGGGGCCTTTGGAATGGCCACTGCCACAGGGCCACAGTCCTGTCGTGGGGCCTGCTGAAACTGTCTGGTGACTGCCATTTCTGCCACTCAACTCTGCACTGAGCACTAACAAGCTGCCTTACCTTGTCTTTCAGAGCGTTGTGAAGGTACAGGAGAATGGTTCTTGGAATCCTCGTCACAGTCATTAAAAATGACCCTTTTATGGCTGTTCCTTGATGGTAGCAGAAAAGAATGGAGAGAGACCAAAGGATTGGGCGATCAGGAGGGTCATTTTTATTTCTGGGAATTGGGGGAAAAAAGACAGCATTTATTTCTGGGAATTGGGGGAAAAAAGACACCATTTAAAACTTCTCTCTCAGGTTCAAATCATCAACGGTACTAACACTTACAAAGCAGTCATGTGACAAGCGTTTGGCAAAACTTTGATACTCATTGGTAGCTAAGGTTAAATTATTTCTTGGACTAACTCCTTTTCATGGCACTCAATGCTACAAACAGAACATTACAAAAATGCTGATGAATTAAGCAAGTTTCCCTCTTTACAAAGCCTCCCTACCTCCACCAATCCTGTAAGTTTTCTATTAATCTCATTTTCTTTTTTTTTTTTAAAGACTTTATTTATTCATGAGAGACACAGAGAGAGAGAGACAGAGACACAGGCAGAGGAAGAAGCAGGCTCCATGCCGGGAGCCTGACGTGGGACTCGATCCCGGGACTCCAGGATCACACCCTGGTCCGAAGGCAGGCGCTTAACCGCTAAGCCACCCGAGGATCTCCAATCTCATTTTCACTTTCAGAAATTTAATTATATAATAATTTCCAAGGTTTACATGACATAGGTAAATATTGCCAGTATTAGCTTGGTGATTAAAATCACCACCCAAGCACACGACCAGAAGGGCAGCCACGGACACAGCAGCGAGCTCCGGCTTAACGTGCGGGAACAGAAAGTTCTTCCACGAGGCTCAAGGCTCCGAAAATCCAGCTGATTTCTACTCTGCTCTTTAAAGGTCACTTCAGTGTGAATCATTTGTGCAACTTGTCGTGACACAGCAATCAAGAATGCGAGGGCCCGTTTCACAAGCAGGGGGAAAACAAAAAGAGAGAAAGAACAGAAGGGGCACAGCCTTCACCCTGCCCGAAACCTGAAAGATCAAACAAAGGAGGGAGGGCTGAGCAACCCCTCCCCTGACCCTCTGAATTTCCTGCTGGTGCCAGTTCTAGAAAATGAGGCCCTTTCTGAGAAGCCACCTCACTGATTCCAACTGAAGCTCGGTTTCTTCATAATGAATTATTCTACAACTCGCTCTGGTTGCTAATAAGTCACTATGAATCAAGGTTTTGACAAGAGCCTAGGTTTTGAGGGAGAAAAAGGAACGCGGCCAGAAATGTCTCAAGAGTTGGCAAGGGCTCTATTTTGCTGTTACTGAAATCATCCAGGAAGGAAAGGAGAACACGAAAGTCCTATTGGGAGCGGAGTAACCGTGATCCAGTTGTCCCACAAAAGGGTGATGTGTGTTCCAACTCAATAGTCTTGAAAATAGGAAATACCAGGGAAACTATTGGTGATACGAATGCATGTTGGCCCGATAAACCAGAAGAGTAGTACAGGCCAGGAAAATCTGACACAGTTTTTCCCTTTCCTCAGCTTTTTTTTTTTTTTTTAAAGGAAGAATGTTTACTTTTCCATTTAGGAGATTTATGTGCCTTAGGACTTATTACAGTGCTCGAGAGGACGCAAAGAAGAGTGGACAACACCTGCTTTCCATCTGGTAGGGAAACAAGTGATTCACAGGCCACTGTGAAGGGGCCTTTGGAGTCCGATCCTTCAGGTTTTGAAGTCTGGCCTTGAGCATCATCTTTCAGAGAAAGGTTCTGCTGGGATGGGATTAACCATTTCAGGCAGCGGAGTGACGGTCGTGGGCCATGACACATTCTGGCTGTGAGTCCGAGGCTCTCCAGGGCTTGGGTGGAAGAAGATGCATGAGTTCCAGAAGCTGGGTTATCACGGGACGAGAGAGACACCTTAAAAAGCAGGCCCTTTAAACTCAGGCCAGCTCGTGGAGCCCGAGTTCGATACCTGCCCCCCCCCATTAGACACCACCCTACAGAAAAGGGTTAAATAAGTGGAGTGTCTGAGGTCTCCACCTTCCCTTCTTAGACCCTTCTCCATGTTCCAAGGTAACGTCGCCCTGCCATGCCGCCCTGCTGTGTTCGTGGCCAGACCTTCATCTCGGTCTCCTCACACCCTGCAGAACCTGCCCTCAGGAGGACGCACCTGATTATATCTGAGGAAGCTTAAAATACTCCTTAGGTCTGGATGTCATCGCATCTTGGGAACTGGCTCTCGGGACGGCGAGGCAGCGCTGGGCGTGTGGGGCAAGCCGGGGATGAGCTGAGGAAGCTGGGGCTCCCGTCAGGCCTGCCCTCTGGGCCGGGGCCTACTGCCTACTGCGAGCGGCGCACCGTCCACCCCGCTGCTGGGGGGGTGGCCTGAGGAAGACCCGGGGCGTGTGAGGGAGTGGGTGACCCTAGGATGTGCCCCCACCCCCACGGGGCCCAGCTTCTCCCTCCTTTCACAGCGTGGCTCTCCTGAGCGCTGAAGGTCCCGGCCCTGTCACGGGAGCCCGAGCCCCAGGACGCCAGAGCCACTCGAGTCGCTAAGCAGAGGCTCTGGCCGTCCCCTCAAGCACGCGTGGGGCAGCTCGGCCCGGCAGCCTCGGGGAGCTACAGGCCGCGTCAGCTCTAGGGCGCCGGCCCGTGCTGAGGAGCCCTCGGCGGCGTGAGAAGTTCACTCCTGGCCGGGCGGCGTGAAGGTTGCCCTCCAGCGAACGGGTGCCCCACGGGGCACCGTGTGGCCCCCGAGGAGACCATCCTTTCCCGATGTTTCTTTGAGCAACATCACTGTCCGCTTCATCTTTCCCGTCCTCCAGAAGAAGGGAAATTGTCTTGGTTACAAAGGACCGGTTCTGCAGCTGGCCTGGGCGGCTCTGCGACGGTCGGCCCGAGCCCCGCGGCCCCCCACGCTGCCCTCCCCGCGCCCTCGCCAGGCAGGAGCAGCTGGAAACCGTCTCTGGTACGTGTGAAAGCAACGATGAGGTCATGCCTCAGGCGGCCCCTCTGCAAGTTGAACGGTTCTAGTTCCTTCCTATCGCACCCCCAGCCACATCTTTACGGCTCTCTGTTGACCCCTCTTCAAGCGAACGGTTGTAAAAGAGAAATTTTACAGGCTGCCCTGGCCTGGCACTTGACGGTCTCCGCATGAACTCCTCGGGTGTCTTCACGCTTACGTGAATGACGGAGAGGAGCGCACCCTGGCTAACCCTCTCCGGAGGGCAGGCCCGAACGTGAGATGCTGCGAACCCCGGGAGGGCGGAAAACCTTAAGGTTTCAAAATGAGGCCCCATGAAGAAAAGAAAGTGGAGCCCTTTAATTAAGCAATAGTGCTGCAGGGGCACCTGGGGGGTCAGTGCTTGAGCGCCTGCCTTCGGCCCAGGGTGTGATCCTGGGGTCCTGGGATCGAATCCCACATCGGGCTCCCCGCAAGGGGCCTGCTTCTCCCTCTGCCTGTGTCTTTGCCTCTCCCTCTCTCTCTCTCTCTCTCTCTCTGTCTCTCATGAATAAATGAATCTTAAAAAAAAAAAAGAAAGAAAGAAATAGTGTTCTAGGGGCACCTGGGTGGCTCAGTGCTTGAGCGTCTGCCTTAGGCTCAGAGAGAGATCCTGGAGACTTGGGATCGAATCCCTCATCGGGCTCCCCGCAGGGAGCCTGCTTCTCCCTCTGCCTGTGTCTCTGCCTCTTTCTGTGTCTCTCATGAATAAATAAATAATAAAAAAGGAGTAGTGCTCTAAGTCGACATGCATTTTATTTTTATTTTTACCAAAGTAATGTGTAAATATCTTAAGTCAAATAGCAAGACGCTAACCAGCAAAGAGAGCAGTTTGCTTCCCTCACTGCTAATTTTCTCCCCCTAGAGGTCATATGTTAGCTATTTCTTCTATAACTTACCCCACACTTCCAAATAGCATATTCTCTCTGCATATATTTTTTCAGTCTCTAATATTGTCTACTGACTTCTCACATTTTTTTTTTTTAAGAGAGCGGGGGAGAGAGGTTGAGGAGGGGGAAGGGCAGAAGGAAAGGGAGAGAAAGAATCCCAAACAGGCTCCACAAGCAGCATGCAGCCTGATGCAGAGCTCCATCTCCTGACCCTGAGATCAGTACCTGGACCTGAACCAAAACCAAGAGTTGGACTCAACTGCCTGAGCCACCGAGGCACCCCTGACTTCTCACTTTGAAACATGTTTGTTGATTGTTTCTCTCATACAACCTAAACATTTTCCCATTGTCTCGTTCTTCTCAATGTAATTATGTTGAAGTTTTTAGAGTTTCTTCTCACCTTTTTTTGAAATATCATTGACATGGGACATTGTGTAACTTTCAGGGGGATGAGGTGTTGATCTGATACTGACCTACTACAAAATGATTACCACCACAGCAGTAGCTAACACCTGCATTACGTCATATAATTACATTTCTTTATTGTGGTTAGAGCTTTTAAATTCTACTCTCTTAGCAACTGTCAGGTATATTATACAGTCTTATTAACCATAATCACCATGCTGGACATTGAATCCCTAGAACTTATTCATCCTAACTTGAAGTTTGTACCCTTTAACCAACATCTGCCCATTTCCCCCAGCTGTACCCCCGATACCCGTTAGTCACCACTCTACTGTTGCTAAGTTTCTACTGTTTTGGCTCTTGTTACATTCTACATATAAGTGAGACCATACAGTATTTATCTTTGTTGGGCTTATTTTGCTTATTAGCACGATGCTCTCAAGAAGATCTATCCACACTTTCACAAATGACAAGATTTTTTTCTTTCTCATGGCTGAATAAAATTCCAGTGTGTGTGTGTGTGTGTGTGTGTGTGTGTGTGTGAGCACCACATCTTTATCTAGCTATCTGTTAATATTTGATTAACATTTGGGTTGTTTCCATAGCTTGGCACTGTGAATAATGCTGCAATAAACGTGGGAGTGCAAATATCTCTTTGAGATCCTATTTCCATTTCCTTTGGATAAATACCCAGAAGCGGGATTGCTGGATCATATGGTAGCTCTAGTTTCAATTTTTTGAGGAACCTCCAAACTGTTTTCCATAGTGGCTGCACCAGTTTGCATTCCCACCAACAGTGCACAGGGGTTCCCTTTTCTTCACATCCTTGCCAACATTTTTTATCTCTTATCTTCTGATGACATCCATTCTAACAG